GCCAGTCGCCACGCCCCCCCCCCCCATAGCTAGCAATCCAAAACAGTCCAGTGTAGCCTGAGTGGTGGACATTGCCTTCTGACACACTTTCGGTGATGTCCGGGGGTGTAGCATATGCAAATAAGTTATGCCAATAAGCTATGCTAATGAGCTCCTGCACCTCTTTTTCTAAAAAATGACCCCTGGATATGAGGCAGCTGTAAGCCTTGCCAGCTTTACTTTACGGGGCAAAATAATACTAAGCAGGGTCATAAGCCTACATTTTTCAAGCCTAGCTGCCTGTTTATAGCAATCTCAATTCATATATCATAAAACTACCTTCATTAGATCAATTCCTGAAAAGACAGGATATTTGTTTTGATTTAAAAAGTGAACATCGAGACCAGAGGTTGCTTGTGCTAACTAATGTCAAGGCCTCCCTGCTTCTCATAAAGTTGCCAACCTCCAGGTGGGGCCCAGGGATCTTTTGCAATTATTGCTGATCTCCAGATACAGAGATAAGCTCCCCTGCTCCTTTGGAGACTGGAAACTATGGAATTATACACTGTGAAGGTCCCTCCCCTCCCCAAATTTCACCCTTTCAATCCTTCACCCCCAAATCACCAGGAATTTCCAACATGGAGTTGGCAACTCTACCTAAATACCAAGCCAGTAAATTGGGCTTAATAAGAGCATTTTGTACCCCACCAATATTAGAAAAACAAAGCAAGGAGTCTCCTGACTCCCCAGTTCCGACAGCAGAGCTTCCTAAACAGTTGCCAGCTAGTGATGGCTAATAAGCCAGTGTCAGATGCTAAGTGCACAGGTTTACCGCCCAGCCCCTGCTGAGTTCACAGCCTGGAATTTGGCTTCATTGCCTATGGCTTTCAAGGATTTTGACAGATGCAGCACATTGATTTAACGTTTAAGAAAGACCCCTGCTGTGGCATCCACAGCTTGCTCCATTGCCTTGGGAGTTAGTAACGTACAAACAATAGAAGTTCTACCACTCAAAAATGTTGCAGCGATAAACAACACCCACTGTTTGGGAACCTGGGATTCCAGTTAAAAAGGCATAAAGATTGTTGGCACTCCCACTTCCTCCCATCTGCAGTGGGGGCCAGTTTCTCTCCTTATCTCGTATCTGTGTGGCTGCTCCTCCCCCCCGCCCCAGCAGCACCACAGCTTCATATTACTCAGGCTTTGAATTAACTCTGCTTTGCATCACTCACATACATCTTCAGCACCAAGCCACAGTGAAAGTATGCATGACACCATTTTCAGACAAAATGGCAACCACAGTTAGTACAAGGACCACGGGTAATGAGCTCCCAGTATACATGATTGGATACCCCCCCAATCGTAATACCTGAGAAACATTATCTCTTCTTAAACCAGTGTTCCCTGTTTCCCCATGCCTGTTCAACGAAATCCCACTTAAGTTGTCTGAATATGATTTTTAAGAGACACGATGTAGTTCCCATTGTATCTGTCTTTTCAAAAGGCCAATAGGCTTCAAGCTAACAGCCACCCAAGCCACACACTTGTTATTGGTAAGTAACCACTAGATGGCCCTATTTACAAAGTATCTCAACCATTCACTCACCAAACACTGCAAAATCCACCTGCTGCCTATCTTAAGCTCTTTTCAGCAGCTGTGATTGCTCACTACTAGCTTAATACATATGGAGGAAAATTGCATTGAATTTTTGCCGGTGAACTTATTCTACATATGCAAGATATGTAATTTTCTTCTGGTACTAATGGTGGTCACCAAGGACTTTGCTGTTCATCTCTACTCACAAGAGTTGCTTTTATTACGAGCTTCCATAGCCATTCAGAGGAAGAACAAATTGTGGGAAGATCAAGATCCCAGCAAGCACCAGAAACCATTTAAGGTGTCAGGATCTGAAGTGCAGCCATTTGTTATTCTAACCCACCATTAAAGAAAACTCAGTGGTTTCCACAACCTGGCAATGTCTCAATGAAATAAAATGTTATCTCTTTTGCTTGGGGCAAAACGATCTACATTCTGGACCAATCGAAAGATGCGTTTATGTTTTATTTTTATTTTGCCCCGGGATGCATATGACCACACACTTTCCCACCT